GTGGCCATAACAGTATTAACTTGCCACAGGTCATGTAAAAACCTCCATTTACCTGATTTCTTTTTGATTACAAATACAGGAGTGTTCCAGGGGCTCTGAGAGGGTTCAATGTGTCCGGCAACCAACTGTTCTTGTACCAATTCTTGCAGGGCCTTTAACTTTTCAATTGGCAAGAGCCACTGATCTACTCATACAGGTTCAGTTGTTAATCAAGTTAATTCCAGTGTAGGCCATTTAATGCCCTGCAGAACAGTGACCCTCGTTAAAAATCTGTAGTAATCTTCACACCTTACAAGCATTCCCTTCCCCACAGATTCGGGGTGGGGCTGTCATCATATGGGATTTGACAGTCACCTGTTGACCCTCAGGGTCCTACTACTCCCATATCCATATTTTCTGTTGACCAGGAATAATGAGATATAATAGTTACATCAGCTCCTGTGTCCAGAAGTCCAGTAAGTGTTACTGTCGCTGGCAGTTCTCTTCTGTTGCATAGTGTACAGGTCATCTGCGGTCTTGATGATGAAACAGTCTGTGACTAAAAGACTTGCGAAGGTCCTGTGGAGTCGAATCCTCCATCATGTCGCAACTGTTTTTCTGTCTTAGGAACACAACTCAAAAAAGGTATAAGTTGAGCAATGCAAGTGATTTTTGGAATGGTTACTGGTGGGTAAGGAGTAGAAATCATAGCACAAATTTGTCCAGTAAAATCAGCATCAGTAATGCTCACATGCACAATTAATTTAAAATGCTACCCAAGCTTACAATATTCTCCTCAGATAGATGGTACAGAGGTGCACTCTTCCCACAGAGTATACACCTAAATTCAAGACAACAATTAGCACAGAATTACTGCCTCCTACTAGAAGAGGTATTTCACCTGTGCCACTTAAAACACTGAGCATGAATAAACAGGCAGCACCCGTGACCCAGCGGGTGGGCACTAGGGCTCTGCACTAAGGAATGTTCACTCGTCCTGCACTCCCCCAGTACAGAGTCTGCCCTGCTCTCCCTTCCTCTCTGGCTGCTTCGGGTCAGAGGACTCCGCACTGCGCAGCTGCAGCTGGGCTGCGCCTCACACGCAAATCAATCACACACACAAATCAATCACACAACTACATGTAGAGGCCTCTTACACTGGTCACTCACACAACATAAAATGACAAACACTACAAACAGTAAAACACCATTAAAAATATAAAAAGCCATTGCTTGTTAATGATGAGGTGCTGACAGACAAGGGACGGTGCATCACAGTGTCAGCACCTGCTGTGAAAAAACTGTAGCTTTTGGGGTTCAGGGGGGGGTGTGGGGTGTGTGTGTGCGCACCAAGAGCACGGAGCTGGAGGCCGCAGGCGGCCACCCTGCGGCAGGGGGGGGGCTGGAATGCTGAGTACAGCCGTGAGCGATCGCTTCCAGTATACTTGTTGTAAATTAGTTTTTTAAGTCCATCCTCATTAATGCTTTTCTGTAGTTCTTTAATAACAGGAAAATACCATTCTCATCAGCAGATAGTGGACGTGTGGGGCTGGTGGCTTTTCTGGAGGTGTTTCAGCTACAACTGTAGGATCCATCCGAGAATCGGACCCACTAGGTGACCTGGCATCGGCTGCAGCTGCTGCGGCAGTCCCATCACTTTTTAACTGTTTCAGGGGTTGATGTACCAGTTGCCATGCAGTTAAAAATGACACAGTGATGGCATTCTTCCTTACGGCCGCCTCGAATAAGGCGATCCCTGCCTCTTTCCATGTTTCGAGATCAAAAGCAGAGCGTGCATCAGCAGGGACTGCATTCCTTTTGCACCAGATAAACAAAGTACACAGGGCTTTTTCCTCATCAGAGGGAGCTGGTGGAACAGAGGGCTCCACGATGGGAGGTGGAGGGGGCACTGCCTGAGGGACTTTCTGCTCATTCGGTCTTTGTGGAGGAAACAACTCATCTTGGGCTTCCTCATCAGAGTCCTCGTACAATCCCCTCGCCCTCAACCATGGTCTATGTTTAGGACGGGCTCCCCCAGCTCTTTTTGATGTAGGTTTATCAGAGCGGTGCAAAGTTTGCATAGCGGCACTTAATTCTCCTTCTTCATCACTCTCATTATCACTCTCACCCTCCCAAAACTGCTCTGGGGACCTGGGAAGGACAGTCACAGCATCTGGAGGGAGCGTACATGGCGTAGCTTTTTGTTCTGTCTGTTTATCAGCCAGATTCAATGCTCGCAAATTGTCAGTAAGTTCTTTAGTGTTGGGTTCACCGCCCTCAGAGTCTCTGTCAGACTCACTACGTACTGCTGGCTCCTCTGGAGGAGCTGATGGTGTTACGTTTGCCATATCAGAATCCTGCGAGGGAGAAGCCCCTCCAGGGTCTTCCTGTATCGGCACAGGGGGAGGTGGAGGTGGACGAGAATGCCTCCTGCTTTTTCCTGTCAATGGTTTTCGTCCCGCCACTGTAGACAGTGTGGGATCATCATAACTGAGCCCAGGACCAAACGAACTAGAGGCAGGAGTGGATTCTTTCTTTCCTTCAGCATCATGTTCCTTTTTCCACTCCTTCAGGGTCTCAGTTAGCACACGCCATGTAGTTGCTAGCTCACACGCTTCTTTCTGTCCTTTTGAAACTTCATCCCATAGCTTTTCGCCTATTCTCTGCCATACAGTCACACTAAATGCAGTGGTTACATTAGCTTCAAAGCCTTGCGTCTTACTCCATATCAACATTTTCTTCAGGCTTTGTTCTGGGGTTTTACCCCTTTCTCTTTTTAAAAGGGCTTTCCAGGCAGACAAAATTGTCTCCTCTTCTTTACTTAGTTGCTGCCCCATATTATATCTTAATAAGTTTTCCCCGGTGGCTCACCTTGTACGCAGGTGTCAAAATGTCAGGTCCGGACCAGGCAGAATCCCCTCTGCTCTCAGCTTCACCGGTCTCCGTCTCCGCTGCACCTCGCCCTGCAGCTCTTAAAAAAAAAAAAAAATCCCCTATGTTCCACTTGTATCACGTCGGGGTCACCAATTGTCGCGGTAGAGACGGTCATGCAACAATTGACAGTTAAGTTAAGAGTAAAAGAAGAAGTCTGTTTATTGTTTTTCTACATACCTTATATATCTTTTACAACTACTGCAAGCTCTAACATAATTGGCTAAACCCATAGCAACGGTACACCCATAGCAACGGTACATGATTAGATAGCTTTCTTAAAGTTTTACTTCTGAACATGATTAACA